CCAACGGTCAGGTTTACCTATCACCGGACAGAGCCCAGAGCATCCGCACTCTGATTCAACAGGTCCTGTCGAAGAGGAGAGTTGCCCTAATCTGTCTTTCTTGCCTTCTCGGAAAGATGGTATCCTGCTTCGGCATCGTTCCGTGGGCACGCAGACATTCGAGACCTCTGCAGTGGTTTTTGCTCCCCTTTCAGCGGGCAGGCAGGGCCAACTCCAAACCGGGCAGTACTCCTCACCCTTCAGGTCCGCCAGTCCCTCAGGTGGTGGACATCGCCTTCGCTTCTCAAGGGGTCCAGTTTCCTAGAGCCGGACCGACTGATCATCACCACCGACGCAAGTCTTCGAGGGTGGGGAGCCCACCTCCACAACCTGGTGGCACAGGGACAGTGGTCCCGGCGGGAGAGTCAGTGCAGCATCAATCTTCTGGAACTTCGGGCGATCAAACTGGCCCTTCAGGAGTTCCATTCGACAGTGCGAGGACATCACGTTCTGATCCTGACCGACAACATCTCGGCCAAAGCGCACGTCAACAGGGAAGGGGGCACAAGGTCCCGCACCCTGATGCGAGAGGCCGCCGATCTCTTCAACTGGGCAGAGAACCACCTTCTTTCGATCAGGGCGGATCACATCTCGGGGGCATCCAATGTCAGAGCAGACTGGCTCAGCAGAGAGACCATAGACCAAGCAGAATGGCAGCTCCATCCACAACTGTTCCGGGAGCTTGCCTCACGCTTCGGGAGCCCGGAGGTGGATCTCTTTGCAACCCCGGCCAACGCTCAGCTTCCCCGTTTCGTGTCGCGCTACCCGACACCTCTGGCAGAAGACCACGACGCGTTGCGCTGCAGGTGGCCCGAGGGTCTCCTGTACGCGTTCCCACCACTGCCTCTAATTCCCCGCCTCATCCGAAAACTGCTATCGGAGAAGGCCGACCTGCTCCTGGTAGCCCCGAACTGGCCCCGGCGGCCGTGGTATGCCGACCTAGTGGCGCTCTCCGTGGACCAACCGTGGGTGATCCCACCACGGCGACTCGTCCTTCGCCAGGGGGAGGTCACGCACCCAGAGCCCCCAGTGGCTGCAATTAGCCGTCTGGCATTTGAACGCGTCATCCTGAAAAAGGACAACCTACCAGATGAGGTCGTGGCCACCATCCAAGCGGCTAGACGTCCGTCTACAACCCGCATCTACGAGGCGTCTTGGCAGGCGTTCTGTCGCTGGAGTACCCGACAACACACCGATCCGACATCAGCTGAGGTGCGTGACATCCTGCAATTTCTTCAAGCTGGCCTTGACAGGGGCCTGACCCCCGCAACTTTACGAAGGCAGACAGCTGCCCTATCAACGGTCATCACTTGCCCCCCGTACCAGTCTCTCGCGCACCACCCGCGCATCAAGGGGTTTCTACATGGGGCCACAAACCTTCGACCCCCGGCAGTGCATCGGTACCCATCATGGGACTTGACTCTGGTTCTGCGGGCGCTGACTGGACCCCCCTTCGAACCCCTAGACTCAGCCTCGCTCAAGTACCTCTCATTTAAGGTGACCTTCTTGCTGGCAATCACCTCCGCGAGAAGAGTCTCAGAGATAGCGGCCCTCTCAGTCCGCAAGGATTTATGCATATTTCGTGAATCCACGGTGACGCTACGCCTCGACCCGGCTTTCATCCCGAAGGTCAACTCGTGGTTCCATCGGGCCCAGGAACTCATCCTGCCTGATTTCTGTCCTTCACCCCGAGATGCTAGGGAGGAGAGGTGGCACACGTTGGACGTCCGACGTGCTATCCGCATCTACATCCGTCGGACCAAGCCCTATCGCCGGACCGAGGGTCTCCTGGTTTCCTTTAGTCCGAGGTCCATGGGTCAGAAGGTATCACCAGCCACGGTCAGCAGATGGATTAAGGCCTGCATCGCTATGGCCTACGATTCAAGCTCCAGGCCGGCACCGGGCAGAATCCTCCCCCACTCTACCCGCAGTGCGGCCACGTCGGCGGCCTGGGCTACTCAAGCTTCGGTAGCGGACATCTGCAGGGCGGCGACCTGGTCGTCCCTCACACCGTTCATTCGCCACTACAAGATCGATGTGTACAACTCCGCTGAGGCGGCCTTTGGCCGCAGAGTACTTCAGAAAGTGGTGTCGGAGGACAACGATGGAGACAGTCAGCATCCCGCCCAGGGGATTTGAGCTTGGGTATATCCCATGCATGGATAGTGGGAGCAGCGCACAGGAAAATGGACGTTGTCTTACCTGAACGTCCTTTTTCTGGGCGCTGCGTACACTATCCATAACCCTCCCTCTTGGGCTGACTGCTCACCTGGTGACTGTTGATCTTTTTCGTTCCTGTTATCAAGTTGGTGTTAATAAAGTTGAGTTTGTTAACGTTACTCTTAGTGGACTCCTTGTTAGCTGCGCCTTTCGTTCAGACTGGGGGATCATGGGTACAGAGGCGTGGCTAGGGGGCGGAAAGGGGAAGAGCCTTCTGTTTCTTTCACTCAGTTGTTGCCAAATACTGAAGTATTAACCCATGAATGGATAGTGTACGCAGCGCCCAGAAAAAGGACGTTCAGGTAAGACAACGTCCAATCTAAGTTCTTGTTATGTAACTTGTTCCTTTTAAGATTGTGCGTTCTAGATCCCTAAGGCAAGTCTTGCTTCCGGTTCTGATGGTGGTGCAGGGAACTGGGACCATATTTCTATACTGGGACTGCCGATTGCCACTCCTGCGTTACTGCAGATGGGCTGCCCGTTTTTCCTTCAGGTTTTCATAATCCTTCTGAGGAGTGTTTGCTTTGTCTTAAGAAAACACCCCGTAAAGTTCTTGACTAGCAAGGTGATTCATTCCAGGCGACAATTACAGCTGAATCTGCTATCATTCCCTTTTCCCACTGAAGCTTATTTGCAAAGGGGTTATTTTATCCCACCTTCTTTACAGATAACTCAAGGTGACAAACCTAATACTCCTATTTTCCCCATGACAATAACTCTTATCAGGTGGGCTGCGCTGAGAGAGGGATTGACCCAAGGTAAGCCAAACTGCTTAACCCATTAACAGTCTTCCCACTCTTCGTCATCCTCCCTGTTGCATTTGGACGCTGACTTCCAGAAGCCATAGGTAATCTAGTAATGAATGACAGACACACACAGCAATGATAATGGGAGGACTGGGATCACACACTAACTTTTATCTTTTTTTAAGGTAAATAGCTTTGTGTGTGTGTGTGTGCAATGTGGGAGATTAAGGTGTGCTGCAGTCGTCGCTTGCCTAGTTCAGTTTTGCACACAAGAGCCCTGGTGGTGCAGTGGTCACAATGCAGCATTGCAGGCTGACTCTGCCCACAGCCAGTTCGATCCTGACCGGCTCAAGGTTGACTCAGCTTTCACCCTTCCGAGGTCAGTAAAATGTGGACCCAGATTGTTGGGGGCAAGAAGCTGATTCTGTAAACCACTTAGAGAGGGCTGTAAAGCACTGTAAAGCGGTATATAAATCTAAGTGCTATGGCTATCCTACCCTTTCTGTGGCTCCTCCGAGTTTGTCTCGCCTTCAAATACAACTTGCAGCCTCTTGGTCTCTTCTGTCCCATAAAGGCTACAGGCCTTCATATGTTTGGGGGGGGAGAATCCCTATTGCTCCACCTGCTGAGACGGGGAGAACAGTTGGTCATTTGGGAAAATCAATGTAAAGGGGGGAAACGGGTGGAAAGTCTTAGAATCTCTTGAATGGCATCTTAGAGTGTTTGTCTTTCTCTACCTGGTGACGCCCTTGGCATCCAAAGTTGTTTGCTTTTCTCTGCACCTAAAGGAAGCTGCTGCATTTGGACTCCCGTACTAAGCCTTTCAAGCAATAAGACCACAACTGCACTCGGGACAATTGGCAGGGAGCTTCTTGCTTAGAATTATATGATTTCTAGATCAGGGATCCCCGATCCTCAACTGGCACCGGGGTTGCAACATGCCAGAAACTGGGCCTTGCAAACAAATGAAGTCCCGTGGGAGGCAGGTAGCACATGAAAACCACACACCCTCTGATCTGTGGAAAAACTTATCTCCATGGAACTGGCCCTTGATGCCCAAAAGGGGGGGGGGATTGCTGTTCTAGATAAATAGGCCCAGAAATGTTGGAAACTCCTTTTGATGCAATGGTGCAAAAGGTCATTTAGAAGAATACCAACTGGACTTTTTTGTTTTTCCTTGAAGACATTTTGTGTCTCTTCGAGAAGCTTCTTCAGTGCCTTTTGGAAAAGCACTTTTGGGACAACCATCACCTGGACGACTGACAATCCCCACAGACATTTAGAGGAGTACATTTCCCTCAACCCAGCTGAGAGCCAAAAACACTTCCAGCCATGCAACAATGATCCAAATTGATTTCATTGGTCATTTCTAGTGTTTCTCTGCTATTCCTGTCCTCGGTGGATGGGAAGGCACTCAATAGTTGGTGCAGAAACTGAAATAAAAGAATCCGCATAGGGCCTCAGTTATTTTCCTTAATCCCACTCTTTTGTTCTGAATTCTGTTTACAGACGTAGGAGTGCCAAGATCCTCCCCCACACCACCCCAAATCACCATGGCATAACACTTGAATTTTCATGCTGCTGCACCGTCAGGAAGTTGACAATCTAGTAATTATGGCGAGTTGCCTTTAAGGTGAAGGTTGCTGCTAAAAATACCCAAATGGAAGGACCTGGGTTTTAACAGTAGATTGCTACCAAAGAGTTCCTAGGGAGCTATTAAAGACTTCCCTTTGGGGGGGCAAGAGAGAACCAGCTGTGGATGATGCTGTCCTAGAATTCCATGACTGACTGAAGGAGCTGCCTCAAAAAAGCCTCTGAAGGCATCCTTGATTTTAATGAGCTATTACTGCACTCTTAACAGCTCATTGGGGTCTGCAGAAGCTTCCTCATCTTTCAGAAAATATCTCCAGAACTAAGTGGCTCTTCCAGCTGGGTGTGGATTCCACAATTCAAGAATTGTATGGAAACAAAACGAGACTACTGCCACCGAGCATCGCTTTTCAGAGAAGTTTTCTTTTTAATTTTTGACCGAAGGTTTTTTCCAAACATAATGCGATTATGCAAATAAGAGAAATTACCAAGTGCTTCTGCTCAACAGTTTCAACATAGGGTAAAACAACGGAACTTGTTATACTTAAATCCTGTTGAAGATGCTCCTTGTGCAGTGTTTAAAAAAGGATTGTTGCTGAGGCAGCATCCATCAAGAATCAATAAAATAAGATTTAATTGGGGGGGAGGGACGCAGGTAATATAGGCTTTAAGGCTATACCACCTGACTTGGCATGTTACCAAATGAGAGGTTATTTTTTTCAGCCCAGCCAAATGTTCAGCAGAAGGAAGCAAATTTATATCGCACAACCATGGAGGAATCTCAGTCATGATTCTACCTTCACTCCAAATCCCATATATTCAGCAATTAAAAAAGACTTGAGAAATGGGTGAGTGCTAATCCTGTGCTTCGGTGGCTATTACAACTTTTCTCCTAATGTGTTGCTGAATCTCTGCAGCAGAACCTCTGGCGCGCCAGCCAGTTGTCTGCATCTGCAGTTCTCAAAGAATGTGAGTCAACGTCACCTTTTCGTTGCACAAAACACTCAAGTCCTCCTGCCATTACAAGTACTGGCATATATTCAGAAATCAAGAGGATGCAATCTTAGCTAACAAAATTAAGCCTTACTGGACTTCACTCCAGCGGAATATAATTTAGGGAAATAGATTCAGTGCACTATTAAGGCACTCTCTAGGTCAAAGTGCTCAAAGTGATACGCAGAAATTTCAGTTTCTGATCTCCCCCGGGCCCTGGTCTAAATACTGAAGGGAAAATTCCTTTCCCTCTAATAGTTTCATCATACCATTCATTCAGAAGTACAGCACCTTTTAAAAAATCCTTACTGTGTTAAATAAACAGGAGGTGGAGATGGAGCTAGAAATAAAGAGGAGCCGACTCCTGCCTTCAAGGCAGCTGTACTGTACAATAATTTGGCTTCCTCATACTACAGAAAAGCGTATAGTTACTGGAGGCAGGCAAAACACTTCACACAATAAATAGCTTTATCCCACTTCCTTTTCAGAAAAGCAGGAACAAGGGACCTCTACTTCCCAGCCCGAAGACTGAAGCTTTGGATACAAGCGATAACAGTAATTTTGCAGCCGTATAAAAATCTGATCTCCATTCCCAGACATTCACAGATGCTTCCGAAAGAGAGACACTGAAAGCTGCTGTAATTGCACAGAGGCCGTGTCTCTGCCACTGACATCACTGAAACTGGATCACTCACTCACACACACACACAGGCGTACAAAGAACTTGAGCGTCGCGGGGATTTGGGAGGATACAGAGGTTAGGCTAAGCGGCAGCTGCTCCAAACTGTAGGGAAGATGGCGTCGCCATTTCCCAGGGCTTAGCCCTGCAGAATAACAACAGTGCAGAAGAAGTGCAAAGATAAGTACATTCTTTCTGTAGGGAAAAAGAAATCTTGTGCACTAGTGCTCCTCTCAGGCACAGAAAACGAGATTTTTTTTTCTTAAAAAGAGACCAATCGCTGGAAAGTCACAAGTCACTTCTTGGAGAGCCTAGCAATGAGTTTTTTCCATTCTTCTCTCTTTCCTGTGATGTACGAAGGAGTCAAGAGCTGAAGCACCGGTTCCTGCGGCCCTTGGAAGAATTCTTGGCACAGGGCCTCCGTGTTGCAGATCACATACATCCCACAGTCGTAGCTGTTCTGCTGCGCTGGAGCCTTCTCTTCCACAAAGGCAGCTTTGCCCCTCTTGCCAAGAAAGGACTGCAAATTCCTGGCAACCTGTCTGGCATGCGCTGAGTTACACCTGCTGTGGGAGTCATAGTGAGCAAAGCTGTCCTTGTCTTGGAAATACACTAGCAAGCTCCAGTGGGTGCCACCGGCTGCCTGGTTGGAATTGTCATTGATAGCCAGGAACACAATTTTCTTGTGCAGCAGGTCGAGAGGCTCGAGGAACACAGCCAGTTCCTCCTGGTTGGTGGTGCATTTGATGAACTGAGCCACTTCCGGGCCCACGAAGCAGGCCTGGTCAGAGAAGTCTCGGAACTGACCGTTGGCAAAATACTCAAAGGCAAACCCAATGATGTGGTCGTTAAGCCAGCAGGGAGGATCTAGTAAAGAAACGTCCGATTGTCTCAGCAAACTGTCCATGTAACTCAGGACAACAGGGTCCATTCTGTGCAAGCAGGGCTACGGCTGCTGGAGAAAGCCCAAAGCCTAAAAGGAACAGAGATGAAAAAAGACATTTACACATGAGAAGTGTGAACTGCTCCTGCATCTGAGCTACCGAATGAAAAAGGTTAAATGTGAAAACTAGAGAACATACTAACATTTGATTTGCCAAATGGGAGAATGGCAGTGGTGAAATTCAGTTGATTCTATCCGGATTGCGCAATCCGGTGGCGCTGGTGGCAGGAGGCTCTGCCCACCCACCTGGACGTAATCACACCCCGTTTTTGACCCTCTGCGCATGCACAGAAGGCTCTGTGCAGGAGGCATGTGTGAGCATAGTGAGCGAGCGCGCTCACATTTGTGAAACGGTAGCAAAGGTAAGTCAATACCACCCCTGGAGCATGGCAATTGATTAGATGTTGACTGGATTTTAAAATATTTTTCTACCTCAAGGAAAACAAATTGACTCTTCCTTTAGTCCCCCGCTTGAATTCAGGGACAAAACTGCTTATTTTTCAGCCTGATCGTATTCTTGTTTATCTAAAGGTTGGGGCCACTAAAACTTTCTCAAGGAATTAAAAAACTGACTGCAGCCTTCAAGTTATTTGATGTTCTGCTTTTGTAAATACTTCTGTATGTTGAAAGCGGACAACTGACAGTGAGCGCTGTCCCCTGGGCATGACTCAGAGAAAACTGGAGAACACCCATTCATTACAACAGGAAAGACGCTGCATGTGCTGATTTATTTACTCATTAGGAAGGAATGGGAAGTTTTCCTGCATACAATTAAAAGACAAAGGAAATTCACTGATGACTTGTATGTATTAGTAATCGTTAAGATCTTCAAAGGCAATAACTAAACAATTGCCTTTTGAAAATAATGAGCATTAAGAGTGATATACATGAGTGATCTATATAGTAGATCTTCTGTAATGCAGAGGTCTCAAAAGTTGGCAACTTTAAAGTTTGTGGATTTCAACCAGGGGTGGGTTCTACTTTATTACCGGTTCGCATCACGCCTGCCCACGTGTGTGTGCTCTTCTGCACATGTGCAGATCACCTATGATAACATCCGGGTCAGTGGGCGGAGCCTCCCGCTAGTTTTACTACCGGTTCTTGCGAACCAGTCCGAACCGGGAGCAACCCACCACTGATTTCAACCCTGCTGGTTGAGGAATTCTGGGAGTTGAAGTCCACAAGTCTTAAAAGTTGCCAAGTTTGGAGACCCCTTATTATAATGAACTGGTGTTTGCCTTTTTTTTAAAAATGCATCCAGAGCTTCCCATTCTTCCAAGGCAAATATCTTGTGGATTTAAGACCCATAATGCTGATCACCGTAAACAGGAATACTAAAATGGAACAGGAGCATCTATGATTACCTGAGTCAACAATCCGGACTTGCACAGATTAATTGCTACACCATGGATGCTGCATCCTTCTCTTTGCTTAGCCTCCAACTGTCAGTAAGAGCAACATGGTGGTTTTCGGCATTGACCCACAGCAAGAAATTGTTCATTTCCTGTCTGCGTTTCTTTTCTTCCCAATAGCCAAGTATTGCTCATTCTATCCATTAGCTGTTACTTGAAACCTCTCGGCAGTGACTCACCAAATAAATTCTATATCTAAAGGAAATCTTTTTTAGATACCAACTCATTTTCTTGGAAGCAGCAACAAAGCACTTTTAAGTATACTATACAAAGAAAAAAAAATAGAACCTGCAATTATGAAGGGCTAGGCATACAGGAACCTTTTTTTAGGCCAAGTAACTTTCCAGTGGTAGGAGAGGAAAAGAAAAAAAAAGTAAAATAGCCTTGAAAATTGTAGAGTAAGAAGAAAAATCTTGTGCACAACCTCCGATGACCTCATGGCCACATCCATGTAGCTTTTTTTTTTAGGGTAAAGATGACAGTAGTTTCTACCGCTGCTTTCCGAGTTGCTTTTTTAGCCTACATTTCCCAGTGGTGTCTCCTCCAAGGATTAACTGAGATGAACCTTGTTTAAGCTTTCCCAAGATTAGCCAAGGTTAGCTAGGTGCTGCCATCTCACTAGGTAGAATAAGAAAAGCTGCGATTGACTATTAGCTCCTACGGAATTTCCCTGCAGGCAAGGTGATCTAGGCCTATTTTACTTGGCTTCCTAGGTAGTCCTCGACTTACGACAGTTCACTTAGTGACCGTCCCCAAGTTACAGCGGCACTGAAAATGCGACGTTTTTTCACCTACGACCATTTGCAGCATCCTCACAGCTTACCTGATCGAAATTCAGACGGTTGGCTTCACACTTACGACCGTTGCTGTGTCCATCCATGTGTGTGTGTGTGTGTGTGTCACACAATCCCTTTCTGCGACCTTCTCCCCTCCCCCCCCCCAAAGTCAGATTCACTTAACCACCGGGCTCCTCACTTAGCAACCGCAGTGATTCCCTGAACAACTGAGGCAAGAAAGGTCGCGCCCTATGAGGCAAAAAACTCACTGAACAAATGCCTCGCTTAACAACAGAAACCTCGGGCTCCATTGTGGCCTTAAGTCGAGGACTACCTGTATCGAGAAGGCTGGAGTTTTTCACTTACCGACTGGGTCAAGAAATGGGGCAAAAAAAAAAAAAAACCCCTCACTGAACAAATGTCTCGCTTAACGACGGGGGCGCTCGCTGTTGTGGTCGTAAGTCGAGGACTACCTCTAACACGGGATGAGGGCGAATGAATGGCGGGAAAGGGACGGTTTCCCTCACGGAGAAAAGGCGGCAGGATTTCAACCATCCGGGCCGGGCCGCGGCCACGCTCAGGGTTCCCCCCCTCAGGCGGCCTTTCCGCTCATTCCAGCCGGGGCGGCCGCCCGATTTCCCCCCTCAGAGGAATCTTCCCTCAGGAGGCGCCTTACCTGCCACCGGGCCTCGCGCTCCTCGCCGGGGGTTGGTTGCCCGGGGCGGCCGCCAAGCACGTCGCCGGAGCCGAGCGTCGTAAAACAAAATCAAAAAAAAAAAAAAAAGGCGCCTCTTTCCTCCTTTGGCTTCCACCACCCCGCCCCCCCCCACCCTCCGCACATCCCGCGCTACGCCACTCGCGTAAAGCCCCGACGGGAATCGCGGGCGGGGACCGGTGAGCGCGCGCGGCTCCTGCCTTTCCGATGGGCCTGTTTTCTCCTCCTCCTCCTCCTCGCTCCGCCCCCTGGGAGGAGGAGGGGGGGAGGAAAAAAAGAGGAGGAGGTGTGGGCGGGGCTTGACTCGGGGCGCGGCGGCGGCGGCAGCAGCCGGAGGAGACCTCCGCCTCTCGCGGTCGCTGGGTTGCGCGAGCGCGCGCGTCACGTCAGCTCCAGGCTGGGTGGGAGGGGGCGGGGGAGAAAAAAAAAAAAGAGGGAGGGGGGGGGGGGGGGGCGGGGCCCGGCCGGTGGCGCGTGCGCGTGCGCGCGCGAGGCAGCGAGAGGCGGCGGCGGCGGCGGCTGAGGCGGCTGTGTGAGGCGAGGCGAGGCGGCGTTTCCTCCCCACCGAAGCGGGGAGGAGGGCGGGTGGCCGTCGCGGTGGCGGTGCTGCCCCTCGCCGGCACGAAGCCAAGGGACGAAGAAGAGAGAGAGAGAGAGAAAAAAAGAGAGAGAGAGACCCGCGGCCGAGCGATGCGGCGGTCCCTCAGGTGAGCCTCACCCGCTGCCCGGCCCTCCGCCGGCTTCCCCTCAGCCCTGGTGATGAGGCGCCCGAAAGACCCGAGCAGGCAGGCAGGCGAGCGGGCGCTCTTCTCCGCCACCCTTCCGCACCTGCGACGGCCCCAGCGACGCCTCTTTCCTCCGGGATGGAGAGGGAGGAAATGGGGCCGCCGAGATCCGGACGGGAGGGATGCGCGCGGGTGAGGAGGAAGAAGAAGAAGAAGAAAGGGGGGGGGCTGGATAAATATACCCCAAGGACACCCCTTCCCTCACACACCAATAAGGGAAGGGGGGAGACCCGGCGGCTCCTCTCATCCGCAGGGGGGCTTCATTCATTCGAGGCGGCTCCCGATTCCGAGCCTGCCGGATCCTTCCTCTCCTGGGGGAGCCCTTCCCCCCCCCCCCCCCCCCTCGCTACTGGAAGAGCCCCCCCCCCCCCCCCCACCCCCCCCCCCCCACCCCCCACTTCTTCCCTGCACCCCTTCTTCTGCCTGCCTGCCTGCCTTGCAAGGTCACGGAGCCTCCACTTTCCTGCCATCCACCCCCCCCCCCCCTTCCCCCCCCCCCCAATTCCCCTCCGCTGTTCTGTTACATGAGAGCATCCATTTTTGGAGGGTTTCCTTCTTGTCAGAGCCGGTTTTTTTCTCCAGCCCCCCCCCCCAACTCCCCTCTCAAAAAAGCAAAAAAAAAAAGGGGGGGTGAGAGAGAGAAAGGATGGTTGTGCTGTTGCATTGCGTGTGGTGTGCAAGGTCGAAATCTGGGCTGCAGCAGCTGCATTGTGATTTCCCCCCCCCCCACACCATCCCACCTCCATGGAAGGGGGGGGGGAATCCCAAGCTGTGCTAGAGGAGAGAAATAAGTCTCTTCTCCCCCCCCCACCTTTCCCCCCCCCCTTGTTCTCCTAAGGAGGTTTGGAGGTATTTTAAGGGGGTGGGGGGAGAAAAAAACCACAGGAGAAAGAAAGAAAGCAATGGATTTGCTCCACATCCTCACAGGCTCTTCCTGTGTAAAAACTTTCTAATGGCATTATTTGTTTATCTGTGCTGCTGTATTTACTAGATAAGCCACTAAAGGAAGCTGCTTCTTTCTTTCTTTCTTTCTTTCTTTCTTTCTTTCTTTCTTTCTTTCTTTCTTTCTTTTTTTCTTTCCCCAATTTTGATTTGGCAGCCGAATTTGGGACAGCGGTTAGGATCTGCTGTCGGGGCTCAGGCCTTCAGGAATGCTGCAGTCCAGTCAAACTGGTAAAGGGTCTCTCCGATCTATTGCTGAGAAACATGGTTCCATGCCTGCATTAACTAATAAAAAAAATAAAATACTCCCGTTTACCGTGGTGGTTTTCTTCAAGGGTGCTTTTGAAGACATGGCATGACACCGCATGGATGCTGCATCCGTTCTCAACTGTTGCTGTGGAATAAAACTCCTGTGACTGTGATTGTGAATGGCTGTGGATGTGGGTCCTGCTGGCTGGGAACGGTGAGAGCTATAGGAAAGCATACTTGGAGGGCACTCCTTTGACAGTAGTTAATGCAGTGGTTTTTTGTGAATTCAGTCTCTAAATCCATCAGTCTTTGCCTTAATCTTCAGGATGGGAAAAGGAGCATAATCTTCTTGCTTCCTCCATGTGTCACATGGAATATTTATTTAAAATGTATTTTAAAACTGGGTTTTCCAGTGCTGTGGAATTTAAACATTTATGTCTTTAGCAGTATTAACAAAAATGATTGGCAGCCTCTTAAGTTCACTTGCAGCCAGTTTCTCTCTTTTTCCCCGTTGTCCTGCTTTTTAGTGCTTGCAGTCTCTGTGCTCTACTTTTCTTGCATTGAGTGAATTGTTTTCCTTGAATTTTTCGTTTTTAAGGAGCCTTACAGTTTGGCTGTTCAGATTTATCAAAATGCAAATGAAGTGACAAAGAGCACAGCAGTGTGGGTTGTATTAGGAAGACATTCTTCCTTTTCTCCATTCTGTGGAGGATGAATGCAGTATTTTGAAAAACTTGGAAGGGATTCCACAAAGGTGAATTGGGCATTTGGTGCAGGATTATATGAATAAAATGTCATATTTTTCTTACTTGTGCAGATTTGTGAAAAATATGTTTGACTAGTATGTGGCTCTGGGTTTATTGGACCCAGGTAGGGTGTTAGTTTTTTATTTTAAATGTGCATGAATTCATCCATTTGAATAAAATAAGCAAATAATGAGTTACTGATGGTTGATGGTTACTGTAGTGTCAAACTCACTGTAATGAATACAAGTTCATTAAATTTTTCAGGAAAATGATGCCAACTTCTTTAAAACCATCTTCTGCATCTCATATACTAATAGTCATTTTATTTCATTTACTATATGTTCTACAATATTGCTATTAATAGGTGAAGACAGCTTAAATTTGGAATGTGTTCCATAGAATCTTTTAAAAGATATTCTGAAATCAGATACTGTATTAATTTAGAGAGATTTTAGTATACCATTTCACCAATTTATGTATTCAGCCTTTAATTTTTATAAGGCATATTTTTGGAGTCCTGGCATCAAAAATTTACGTGAAGAAAATTAATGAAATAATAGAACATTTGGAAGATTTTGTGAATATACAGGAGATACAACAAATTAATGTATTAGAAAGCTGCTGTCACTTAAATATTATCAGTTCTCTTAAGGAAATATAGTAGTCAAAAGTCATAATGCTCTATTAAAGCTCTCTTTTGAAATTGCTGTGGTAAAAGGAAAAGACAGCCTCAATTTGAGTTTGACTTCTGGTGATTACATACAATGATGACAATGTAGGTTTCTTGGCAATACTATGGAAACTATTCGCTCTTGAAGTTTTTTTTTTAAATTTTCAGTTTAGCCTATAGTTTTGGGATTTCCCCTTGGCCTCTCATCCAGGTACTTTCAACCTAATTAGCTTTTTTGAGGTCAGCCTGATGCAGCTACCTGTGATATCTGAAGATGCTTAAAAAAAAAGGAATTCCGTTTTATTGATTTAGCATGGCATGTTTATTAATATTTTACCAGTACATATTTTCTCTAAACTTTTTATTATTTATCAGGCAAAACATTTTTATTAAAAAAAAATTCTCAGCATCAGAAATAAACTGCTTAAAAAGCCATTGATTCATTTAAGTAGGTGAACCTCTGATCTTCAGCTGTAATAAAGATACAGAACTTGGAATCATAATGAAGCTGCTGCCTGCTTTCTTGTATGGCTGATATTGCTTATCAAAAGATCCACTTAAATTCATAATGTACCAGTATTTCCTATTTGAATGAATTCTCCAGAGAAATATTCTATTTTTTTAATGCATCATTAGTACAAATGAAACTTTTTAAAAAAAATCTGGAAATGTTTTAACATTATAAACAAGTGTTTTTACTTGGCTCCAAAAGAAGATGCTTTACATAATTTCTAAAGTCCTAATTTACAGAAATATTTCAATATTTTAGTAGCTCTTGGAAAAAATAGAAGGAAGAAAAAGCATTTACTTTGTATAAACACTCCATAGTCAGCCAGCATTTTTTAAAAATTCCATTGATTTAAAAAATGACTTTGAAACTTTGTTTTCTTGGTTTAATTTTTGTTTGTTTTTAAACAGTATTATGCCTCTTGGATACAATCACTTTTGCCCATTAGTTAGCTGTTCTTTAGTTAAAACGTGATGAAAACTAATTGGAACTTGGACTTGCTGTTTTCATCATGGGATGATGAATGTTGGACTTCTCAGCAGATTCAGAAATGGGAAGTTGCTAAAATTCATGCTATGGGATTGCCTTCATCATGAGGCTTATGACCCCAAGTGCCGTTTGTCCTTACGCATTTCGTCAGTTTGCTTCCATGAATGTTGAAGCAGTTGGGACACTTCCCCTTGCGCTGGTGGAGACTAGTTATAAGTAGGACTCATCGCTGTTTCCCTAGCAATACAATTAAAAGAGTTTCAAATGCAGCATAGCTGTCTGAATTCAGTTGCTTTCACTGACTGTTGGAGTCACAATTTTATCTTACAGTACTGCTAAATTAGCTTTTATCTACAATGTTGATCTACATCATGGTCAACAAAGGTTCCTGTGAGAGGAGAGAACAGTGCTTTGGCAATATCAAGTCATATATCTGAATTCAAACTGCATCCTGAAGTCTTTTGTAGCTGCTTCTCTCAAGTTGCTCAGGTTTCATTTGCAAAAGTAGTTTATCTTCCCCGACCCCAATAACTGGTGGCTCCAACTGACAAACCAGAAGGACACCATAGTCAATGGCCCTCAACCCTCCCCAGAGGCCTAATAAGACCTGAAAGGACATGCCTGCTTCATCCAGGTTCCAGTGAAGGTAATGATTAGAGCAGCCACCACTGTTTCCATCCACTGACTGGGTCAGAATCTTGAGTGAAAGGGTTCCTAAGTGGACCTTATGATTTTTCCCCCCTTTTCCTTGCCTACAACTTCAGCTAATGCTGCTTCCCAACCTGCATGTACCAATCACTGTTCTGTTTCCTGAGTGAGCACCTCACCTGTTTCTGTGTGTAGTTCTGTGCTGCTGTTGTATGCAGACACTGAATCTAATGTCCTTGTTAGTACCTGTCGCTTTCAGTTTCTGCAGCTTTTTGTTTTGATGTGCTGTTTTCCACATTACCAAGTATTCTTGGCAATGTTCCCATGGAGAATTAAGTTAGAAAAGAAAGTTCTATACGATTGGTCATCTCAATGGATTTTTCAGAGACTATCTGTAAGTCAGGATACTGGTTTCCTGGCAGTTTTCACTCATGTACCTTTATACCTTTATTTGAGAAATCAGAAAAATGATCAGTTTAAGTCAGTGTACTTTTTTGCCTCTATTTAAACCAGAAATCATTTTCAGATGCAGAGCTGCAGAAAAAAAATATTATTTGGAAAGAGATCATGATCCTTGCTGATCACAAACAGTTAAATTTTGCATAAATTATAGGAAGGCAGCTTGCTGGGGGGAAAAAGTCACCAGTGTTGAGCTAAAGTTTCTATCGCCAAACTGCACAGTTAATTAACAGTGCCCAAGATAACCTCAGTTGTGGTTACAGGCCCTAAGGAGTATTATTCAAAATATGGTGGATTTTAAACTGTCCTTTTCAGTATCACAGCCGTTTGTATTTATTGGATATGTGCCATAGAACTTGTGTGAAGTAGTAGATTACATAATCATGGAAGAATGCAGTCCCATTACTGTTGGAAAACTTCTACTATAATATGCAGCATCACTTGAACTGCAGTATTTGTTTTGTTATTTTTGTCAGCTAATTTATTTTGCATTTGAGTGCCCTATCGCCTATTCCCATCTGAAGGAAGAGCTTGGTGCAACAATATTTTTACAGGGACAGGGTTTTTGATTTTTACATAAGTACAGCATACAATGGGTTATAGAAATATCAAATTCAAACTGTAATAATTTGGGTGAGGAACTTAAGCTGGCCGAAAAGTTCCTCAGCATCAGTTTTTGGACTAAATAAAATACAAATGGGAGATGAACGCAACCTAGATTCAATGAAGAATAGCTGTCTGGCCTTTTTTTTTTTTTTTTTAAAGACCCCTAAGGAGAAAGATTAGTCCATTTTAAGTAAATTGCTTCTACCAACAATATTCCTTTCCAGTTTTCAATGAACATCTATTTTTATCATTTAAACTCATTTGCCATCTGAATGAGCTGAGAAAAATAACTTTATCTGGCAAGCTGTGCATGACCTGTATTTGGAGAAGAAACGAGGAGCTAACTATTAAAATTCTAAAAAGGCATTCTTTGCCCAGCAAAGTTTTAGAACAAATTGAGAGCTTTATATAATTGCTTTCTTGATTCACACATTATGTTACATAATAATTTTGTTTGCATGATACGTCAGCCCAGCTATTGTGTTTGTAAAATTGTGTGTTACATTATGTATGAGGAAAGCCATTCTGGTATTTTCAATGAATTGTGTTGAAACAAACCATGGCTTAGAACAAAAGTACCTAGTCAAGCTACAGAATCATGCTGACCTTAATTAAGTTCCTTCAGTGTGACCTCCACCTCTCAAACATTTGCCACAAGTTTGATGAGATAACAGGAGAATTTTTTTTTTATTGAAAAGGTTTTCAAATACAAATTTTTCCCCCTTTTTCCCCCCCCTCCCTAACCCCCCCTCCCCACCCTTCCCCCCCTGTGACTTCTTCGTAACAAAAAAAAACCCTAATTCATAACAGATTACTTACTCCCTCCTCAAAATACTGACCTTTACTTACTAAAAGTATTATAAATCCCCCTTTATCCATACATTTCAGAAAAGAAGAGAAAAAAAAAAACAAAAAAAAACAAACACATTATACTATAACTATTATAAAATAACTCTAATTTAGCATAATAGTGTTTTATATCTATGCATTATTGCAACAATTCAAAACCACCTTCCACTTTAAAACTATACAATAAGTCCTACTTTAATAACATTTCAAAGCGGGCTCCCCATAAAATCTAATTTAAC